GCGCATCCGGGCGATGCATTTTATTCAGCCTTTTCCGGTATTTGGCTTTGAATATAATGACCTGTGTAAAAGTAAATAAATGCTACACACTTCTAAACCAAAACATTGATAAATGACCACCCACTTCTAAACAAAATAACGCGAAATTACACCCCAGTCGGGCGGCATATACCCGTATTGCACTTCTATGCAAGTAGCCCAAAACCCCACTCCCCACCCCCCGGGAGTAGGCGCTGTGCCAAGATGAACTTGAAGGTTTAAGTAGGCGCTGCCAAGATTAAGGTTTAAGTAGGCGCTGCCGAGATGAAGGTTTAAGTAGGCGCTGCCGAGATGAAGGTTTAAGTAGGCGCTGCCGAGATGAAGGTTTAAGTAGGCGCTGCTGAGATGAAGGTTTAAGTAGGCGCTGCCGAGATGAAGGTTTAAGTAGGCGCTGCCGGGACTATGGTTTGAGTAGGCGCTGAATGACTGCATACACAGTTGGTATCAGAGCGGCGGTGACTTCACCCAGCGCTCTGCTTGAACGTTGAACTGAAACTATTGAGTTGTGTTTAGTTATTGGAGTGGGTGAGCTTTTACCTCCGAGAAAGAACCCACAATTTATTAAAATCATTTGATGTAAATAATTATCACTCATAGCGCATGCGTGAACAACAGAAACGTGTTGTGAAAATGGGGGCAAACATATCGCATCAATGAAAGCATCAACATTTGCAACAACCAAACACATGTATTCAGTTGAATACAGAGTTAGTGCAACAGATGTATTTTATAAATAAAAATAAATTAAAAATATAAAATCATGGCGGTAAATTAATAAAATAATATATTTTCTTAGTATGGAGTTGAAATTATGCTAAAATTAAAATTCAATATTTGTATTGAAGTATCATATTTAAATATATGTCACTACATTTGACGTTTAATTGCTTTCAGCAAACGCATCAAGTTTATTTCAAGCCTAACCAAACCACATACAACGCCCCGCTAAAAGACCATGGTGTATCGAAGAATGTCATTAAATGTGTGTCCAGTAACAAAGGCATATAACGTAACTTCAAAATAAAATTGTAATGGAGCCATCATACTCACTACTGTAAAGTTACCTTAAAAACACGAAATTTGTGCTATCAAGAATACCTAGAAGCGTAAACATAACACACGCAATACTAAATTAAAATTAATACCAATTCAATGCTACCATGGTTACAACCTAATGAACTAGTAACAGAAATGTACGATTTACACATAATCTCACGCTAGGAGATTCAACGTGAAAGAGTTGACAAACAAAATACAGATTCAATTACTGTCAATAATGATGTAATATTCATATATCATACAAAGTACACGTCACAATATATTACT